TGCAGCCCAGTGACACACATTGTGGACGCTTCAAGACAAATTGTGCGAGGCGTAAGACATTTCTTGAGAATATTTATTTTTGTTCTTCTTTACGACATATTAAATATTGAGAACGAAATTTTTATCAAAAATGAGCGATCAAAAAATTTCGAAGACGATTTATGGCTGGATTGAATAATAATGATTGAGATTTATTACACGTATGGATGTGCTTTATATGAGGGCATGTTTGTCACATGTTATGGAATTTAAATAGGTATTGTTGTGAATAATAAGAAGTAGACACGAATAGTAATAAATAGGGCAGCGATTCAATATTAGTAGATTCAATAACATAAGATCGGACATATGTGATATCCAAATGTTAAGCTTTCGATCTTACAATTTAGGTATATAGGACATTGAGCTAGTAGTGGCAGATCTGTCAATAATAACTGTTGATTGATAAAAATCTGAAATCCTCTCATTATTAAGGATGAAATCATAGCATCGCTGTTATGATACAATACTAGATAAAATTACATGTTGATCAATACACATTCCATCCATTTGCTTCATCAATTCCCAACAAAAAAAAAAATCAATTAAAAAGTTAATCAAATTTCCATATAAAAAATTATTTTAATTTATTTAATTTAAATGACAATAATCGGATTTATTCAATTAATTGATGTCAATTATCCAAAATTAAATTGACTGTGATAACACATGACATCTCCTTTAAAGCTGTCCAGACCTCCCCACGCCTCGTGTAATTTAACATTAAATTGTTTCCATTTTGTGGTTAATGGAAATTTAATTGAGCGACAATTTACCAACCTTAAAAAGACATAAAATAAGAAGAAACTTTTTTTACAATGTCGAGGTCATTTTGCAGCCTTGTTTCTTCCTCATTTCTTATTCACCTCATTACTGTTCATGTCGTACTCATGTTGTCTCACCGTAAGTGAAGAAAGTAAGCGAGGAAAGAAATGCAACGTAAATGTAATTTATTATTCAACCACAGATTCATGCAAAATTTACTTTATTTGTAGTCGGCATGCATGTACTGCATGTGATATTGCAGATTTTTTGATAGTTTTTTTATGAGAGCTTTTGGATCTTTTTGGGAGATTTGTAGATTTTTGGGTGATTCTTGTTTAAAAGGAGTTGAATGGAATCAATCACTGGTTTCTAGGGTTATCTTAGGCATCCTATTTAAGGTATAGTCAAAAAATCTAGCTACTCGCCTTAGTCACATCAATTTATCTCATTCGAACAATGCCAGAACACGAAAACAAGCAAATTTCATCCCATCTCAAACAAAACACATTCAAAAGCTAGTCACATTTTAATCTTTAAATTGTAGCCACTAAAAATTTCAATAATTTTTTCAAATTCCTTACAGAGAAAAAAAAACATTGAAAAGATTCATTAAACTTCTTGTAAACGACAAGAATCAACAGCATGAAGTGCAGAATTTTAAAATGTCTATCACACTACACTACTTTCAATTAGCGACGCTGCACAGTGAATGCAAAATTATTTCCTTCAAGATTCTTTCATTCTCTCCACCAGCTATTGTCAAGTGCTGTTCCAGTAACCACATTGAATATTATTCGATAATAATAATAACTTTTTTTATGGACGAAAATAAAAATAAATAAATAAATTCATTTATTTACATACGACGAGAATTGATGTCAATGAAAAAGAAATTGTCACTGGCATTGCCGCTTTATCTTTGTTTTGTGTACTGCATTTGTATTATTACTTCTTCTATCTTTTTATAAGCTTCTATTTATGATAATTTATTTGTTTAATTTGCTTGCCAAAGAAAGGAATTAAAGCCTTGCATTCAAGCTTGTTGAGAATTTTTTTAATAGCTAATTTTTTCTAGGCATGCAATTAGTGTCAATAAGTATTATGAATTATTTATCTAGTAGCTGAAGAATTTTTAAAATCCTTGTTTGAGGAAATTAGAATTCTTTACAGATCTTTGGCAGATCATTGGCATGTTCTCTAAATTATTCTGTGATTTATGGAGATGAATAGAACTTTTTTGAGTTAATTCTTGGTAGAGATGCTTTATTTGAGTTAAAGCTTAAAAGCGTGGCTTCATCCGAGTCAAAACTTCAAAGCACAGCTTTATTGGAGACGAAAGTTTAAAATTTAGATTCACTTGAGTGAATATTTTGAAGCGCTGCTTCATTTCAATCGAAACTTCAAAGCGCGGATTCAATTTAAGTTAAAACTTCAAACCACAACTTTATTTGAGTCAAAGCTTTAAAATGTAGCTTCATTTCAATGAATAATTTGAAGTGCTACTTCATTTGAGTCAAACTTCAAAGCACGGTTTCAATTTAAGTCAAAATTTTAAAGCGTATTTTACATTGGGTCAAAACTTCAGAGTGAAGCTTTGTTTCAGGCATTGATTTAAACTGTGGCTTTATTTCAAGTCAACACTTCAAAGCGTAGCGTCACATGAGTGGAGACTTAAATGCACTGCTTTATTTAAGTTCATAATTGAAAGCGAGGCTTCATTTAAGTCAAAATTTCAAAGCGTGACTTCATTCGAGTCAAAATTTCAAAGCACAGCTTTATTTGAGTCGTAACTTTGAAGCGAAGCTTTGTTTGAGGCATTGATTCAAATCGTGGCTTTATTTCAAGTCAAAACTTCAAACGTCAGTGAAGATTTTAAAGCGCTGTTTTGTTTGAGTCCATAATTGAAAGCGTGGCTTTATTTGAGTCAAGAAGAATGGAAGGAGTTTAAAAACACTTATTTCTTACAAATATGCACTTCAAAAAATTACAATTCACCAACTCAAAAGTCAATCCAAACAAAAACTTATTAAAATTAGCTCAAAATCCCTTCCCATTTGACAGAAATATTCATAATTGATTGATGGTTCTTTTGTATTTCTTGAAAAAGTTCTTATATAGAAATTAAGAAGTCATTGCTTCACCATTCATTAATTTATTAGTAATTTGCATTCATTCAGCATTCTCAGAGTGACTTTTTTAATTTTCATAATAAAAGAAACAACTCATTAACTCAAGAATCATTGAATGTAAGAGCATTACACCAGAACAGAAAAAAAAATAATAACTTAGATTCTTGTAGATTCGTCTAAAAAAATAATGCAAAATTGTTGGGCGTCAATTATAAATGATGTCTAATTTTGAGGTTAGAGGATATGGGATTCTAATGCATTGTGACTTTACTAATAATAATTTATTTGATTTAAAATGAGGCGAGGGGGTTCAAAAATTTTAAGGGGATAACAATAATGTTAAACAGAAATTCAGTTTTTTAATATTCCCCCATCATGTTGTTACTCCCCTTAAAAATTACTATTTTGAACTTGACATAATTTATGTATAACCCCACACATAACTATAATTGAAAAGTGTAATTGGTGTAAGCGTCAAACGGCAGCAAGTAAAGTGTCATAGCGAGGAGAAAATAACGAGAGACTAAGAGATGTAGCCGGCGAGGAATTTAAATGGTAATTTATATATTTTTTAAAAAACAAAAAAGAAGCAACAGCAGCAGAGGAAAAAGTCAGCGGAATTATTTCCATCACTTAAAAAAAATTATTACATTATGTACATAGTGTTGTTTGCTACAATCCAGAATCGTAATAAATAATATTCTTTGCTATTCTATATGACATTTTCCTTATTGCCCCCATAGCTACAGACATTCTTAGAGCTATTAATGATGCCATTGCTCGACTATTGTGTCTTTTTAGCCATCAAATTATGCGCCATTTTCACCATCATCATTGCTTACATTTGCTTTAATTTAAATTTTTTGTCCCTCTAAGCTGGCTGAGGATGATACAAGCTATGTGACATTGTCTCATTGTTCACAATTTGTGAAATTTAAAGCTTCCGTTGGACGCTGAAGTTGAATTTTAACGATGACACTTTGATTTCTTTATTTCTTTTGCCGCAAGTACTTTCTGGACTTTTTAATGGAAATTCATCATATCAGACGGTTAATGAGCTTGTAGATCTCTGAATATAATGCTGGATGACATTGAGAATTGATAATGAATGCCTTAGGGATATTTTCAGCAAATATTTAAGTCTAGAAGCTGATTCTAGATTTTACTTAAGCCATAAAGTAGCTTTGAAGGACGAGTAGCATGCGATTAAGATGTCAATATCTTTGCTATGAGAACTATAACAGATTTGAGTAATTAATAAAGGAAAATGATTGGTTGCATGTTGTTTGCATGATAGTAATAATGTATTCAATCCAAGGGTTGTTATGTTGTTTACAAGTATCTCTCATGTGGCTCTAATGTGGTTCTCATATAGCTCTAGTCTGGTTCTTATGTTGCGCTCATGTGGCTTCCATGTTGGTTTGATGTGGTTTAATGTAATGCTATCATGTTTCTTTCATGTTACTCTAATGTGACTTTCATGTCGCTTTCAGGTGGTATTCATGTGGTTATAATGTAGCTCTATCGTGGCTCTCATTTGGCTCTCATGTGTCCTCCAAGTGGCTCTCATGTTGCTCTAATGTGGTTCTAATGTGGCTCTCATGTGGCTCTCAGGTGGCTCTCATTTGGCTCTCATGTGGCTCTCAGGTGGCTCTCATTTGGCTCTCATGTGGTTATAATGTGGCTTTCATGTGGCCTTGATGTGACTCTCATGTTGCTCTCATGTTGCTCTAATGTAGTTCTCATGTCGCTTTCCGGTAGTTTTCATGTGGTTCTAATATAGCTCTCATTTGGGTCTAAGGTGGCTCTCATTTGGGTCTAAAGTGGCTCTCATTTAGCTCTCATGTGGCCTCCAAGTGGCTCTCATGTGGCCTCTAAGTGGCTCTCATGTGACTCTTATGTGGTTCTTATGTTTCTTTAGTCTGGTTCTAATGTTGCTCTTATGTGGTTCTATATTAATTACCCATCCTCTTTGCCATTTTTACACTGACTGTTGCATAAAATATTTAATATGAATCTAGCGAGTGTGGTACGAGTTATGTTGTGCTTACAACAGTTTAAAGTGCAATGTTCAAGTCAAAGCAGTTCAATTTCGATACAAATTTTCAAATAATGGAAGCTCTGAACCAATTCATCAAACAAAAATTATTTAGAGAATCACAAGCTTCAAACATCCAATATTTTCGCGACTTCTTTCAATGTGAAGAAATTTTTATAAAATTTGGCATAAATTTTTTAAAGTCATCGACTACATCTGAAACTGCCCGCAAATGGGAAAAGCATCATTTTGTAGCTATGAAAATGGCAACAGTCGTTGTAGTCATGCTTTCCATTATTAACTTTGTCATTTCGATAGTAGATCAATCAATAGTCCTCGCCATAGAATCATCAGCTGCTGTTGGAATTTTTACTTTGATGCTACTGAAGATTCACACAGTGATGATAAAGAACCGAGGAACTTTAATGGAAATCCTCGAAAAACTTGAGTTCCATTTTCCAACTGATGCTTGGAATCAGCATGTCTTTGAGGTTCAAAATTACCTTAGCACATTGAAGACCTTCAGGAAGATTACAATTGTCATTTACTCGACTATTTACATCCAGCTTATTTCAGTTCCATTCTTTCAATTATTTTACAGATGGATAACATCAAGTGACTTTGTTATTGACTTAATCATCCAGTGCTATATCCCATTTGACTACAGTAATCCACTTGTTTATTCTATTATTTATGTTATCCACGCCTGGATGTTCCTTGTCAATGTATTGGCATTGTTTTCAAATGAATTGCTTTACTTTGGCTTGATAATAGTCCTCAGCATGGAATTTGATATTTTAGGACACTTGATTAGCGAAATTGATCCTCGAGAAGGTTTGGAATGTGCTTTGACGCAAATGAAGATGTTCATAAAAATTCATCAGGAATTAATTGCAATTGCTGAGAAGCTTGAGGACATTTTTTCGATGATTCTGTTTGTAAACATATTTGGCATGATCTACTTGATTTGTGGAACTGCTTTCTTAAGTGTCGTGAGTTGGAATCTTAAATGAAATTTTAAAATTTGTGCATCAATTTGCTTTCTGGCCTTACAGTCAGGAATAAGTCGTTACTTGTTGCTGAAATACTTCATTGGTCTGATTACGACATCATGGAACGGATACATTCAGTGCTACTTCGGTGAACGATTAATCCAGTAAGGAGCTTATTTTGATTTGAAAACACTAACTTAAATTATATCAATTTCTTGCACAGATCATCAATTTCAGTAGCTAATGGAGCATACAACAGCAACTGGTACCATGGATCACCAGAATATAAAAAGCTAGTTTACATTGTCATTGCTCGATCACAGAAGCTTCAGAAACTGTCAGCATTAAAGTATGTAGATGTGTGTTTGGAAACTTATAAATGGGTAAAAATCATAGTTTTTGAAACTAGTGTCTTGAACCTTAGTTTTAAATTTTCTTATAGATCATTAACAAGGCTTATTCATTCTATTCTGTATTGACTGCAATTTATAGTGTATAATTTATTAGAATTAGTATTGCGTGTGTCTGAGGTGCAGGAGGAAGTTAACTTACTCATCAAAATTTTACTTTGTAGCTTCATAATTGACATGCGAACTAAAGCAAATGTGTTTGTGGTTTTTTTTTTCTCAATTAAATTATAAGTTTGACACTTTAATTTGTTGCATGTTTTGGATAACTAGCTTTGTATTTTGATAGCTTTCTCGATTCCTCATTTTTCTCTAAATACTGAAACATCTAAGTCCAGAGTGTGATTAATTGTTTTAAACATAATGAAAGTAATCCGAAAGTTAATTCAGACTTTAAATAATCGTCAAGTTCAACCAATGCTGATCAATTTTCGCGACTTCTTTCAATGTGAAAAGATTTTCTTAAAATTTGGAGTAAACTTCTTGGAATCAGAGACGACATCCAGGAACCCCCAAACAAATCTAAAGATTTATCACTTAATTATAATAATTGCAACAATTGTTATCATCATACTTGCCTTAATTAACTTCATCCTGTCAATACTGCCTAATGGATCATTAATTGTTGCAATTGAAGCATCAGCAAACTTTGGAGTCTTCTCGTTGATGCTTTTGAAGATTTACACTATAATAATAAAGAATCGTGGAATATTGATCGAAATTCTACACAGAATTGAGCTTCATTTTCCGGCCCTTACATCGAACCAACATGATTTTAAGGTTGCTAAATATCTCAGATTGTTAAATATTTTCAACATAACGACAGTTGTCATTTACTCAATGTTATGGCTCCAAAATTCATGCATGGCATTTTTGGAACTATTTTATGGATGGATGACATCAAGTCCGATAAAAATTGAATTGATATTGAGAATCTATGTTCCTTTCGACTACAGCAATCCACTTGTGTTCTCACTCATTTATATTTTCCAATCTTGGATTTTATTTGTAAATTTGACTGGATTTTTATTAGTTGACATGCTGTACTTTGGTTTGATGATTGTTGTGAGCATGGAATTCGACATCTTAAGGCAAATTATCGGCGAAATTGATCCTCGAGAAAATCAACAAGCTGCTGTGAAGAAGATGAAGGAACTAGTTGAAATTCATCAAGAATTGATTGAAATCACTGAAAAACTTGAGGACATATTGTCGTTGATTCTGTTTGTCAATATTTTTGGAATGGTGTACTTGATCTGTGAAACTGCATTCTTAAGTATCGTGAGTTATCGTAGCTTGAATAAATGGAACTAGTTTTTATTTTTATTTTATGCTTACAGTTTGGGATCAGTCAAGATCTACTGATAAAATATTTTCTGACATTTATTGGGTCATGTTGGAATGGATTTATTCAGTGCTACTTTGGTGAACGTTTGATAAGGTAAAGGATCATAAGGTAGGCTCTCCCATAGGGTAGCCCTTGAAACCAGTCAATTGCCATAAAATGTCACGAAGTTATTCATCAAAAGCATCAGGGATTTAAAAAGGATTTCACATTTCCATGTTTATTTGCTCAGGGATTTTTCATGATTTTTTCAGGATTAATCCTGAGTTTCCACGCCTTGTAAAATACTGATTATGTCTCGTGATGACTCTGATACTTAACGTTATTAAATTGCTTTTATTTTCAGATCATCACTTTCGGTTTCTGAAGGAGCTTACAGCTGCAATTGGTATGATGGATCTAAAGAATTCAAGCAACTTGTGTACATTGTGATGGCCAGATCTCAAAAACATCAGAGTATTTTTGCTCTTAAATATATTGAAGTTTCACTAAAAAGCTACGAATGGGTAAATTTTATTTTTATTTTTATTTCCAGACAACTTTTTAAGAAGATTTTTCATTCTCAGATTATTAAGAAAGCATATTCTTACTATTCTGTGTTGACTGCCATTTACGGTCTCTAAGATTCGATTATTTGTCTAATCATAACACCAAGAACAAGAATAATTTTTGCTTAAGATTTTTGTTACACTTTATATTCTAAATTATTCATCAGCATTGCACATTTTATCTTCATAATTGACATGTGAATTAAAACATATTGTAAGCACTTAACAAGCTCCAAACAATGACATTTTTAATTTTTGACGTTTTAATTTATAGTTTGCATTTGAGTTTTGTTTGCTGCTTCTGGTCTTCATCAGTATTTGCTCAGTACCAGAACTCTTCAGATTAGCGTTCGTTGATTGGAAACAGTCTTAATGGAAGCATTCCAAAAGTTTATTAAGGCTTACACTAATTGCCAAGTTCAGCCTGTACTGATCAATTTTCGTGATTTCTTTCAATGCGAGAAAATTTTCTTGAGATTCGGTGTCAGTTTTCTAAAAGCGGCAGCATCCAGAAACCCTCGAACATGGGAGGAGATTCACTTTTTCGTCATGAATATTGCAACAATTGTGGTTGTCCTACTTTCCATGATTAACTTCATCGTATCAATATTGCCTAATGGATCATTAATTGTTGCAATCGAAGCATCAGCGGCAATTGGAGTTTTCTCGTTGATGCTGCTGAAAACTTACACTATTATGTTAAAGAACCGTGGAATGTTGATAGAAATTCTGGAAAGGATTGAGCTTCATTATCCCATCGCTATGAGAAATCAAAATGCTTTTCAGGTTGGAAAATATTTAAATTTGTTGAATATATTCGTCAAGACGACCATTGTCGTCTACTCAATGGTGTGGCTCCAAAATTCATGCATGGTATTTTTTGAAATATTCTCTGGATGGATGACATCAAGCTCTGTTGAATTGGAACTTATTATAAAATTTTATGTTCCCTTCGACTACAGTAATCCAATGGTTTATACACTGCTATACATCTTTCAATCGTGGATTTTGCTGGTCAATATTATCGCATTCTTGTCAGTTGACTTGCTGTACTTTGGCTTGATGATAGTCGTAAGCATGGAATTCGACATCTTAAGTCAAATCATGAGTGAAATCGACCCTCAAGAAGATCAAAAAGCTGCTGTAAAGAAGATGAAGGAACTAGTCGAAATTCACCAGGAATTGATTGAAATCACTGAAATAATTGAGGACATATTTTCATTCATCCTGTTCGCTAATATTTTTGGCATGATTTATTTGATTTGTGGAACTGCTTTCTTGAGTGTCGTGAGTTATCATAGCTTGAATTAATGGAACCTGTTGTTATTTTTTTTGCTTATAGTCTGGGATCAGTCAATATCTGCTGATAAAATATTTTCTGACATTCATCACATCATCTTGGAATGGATTTATTCAGTGCTACTTTGGTGAACGGTTGATAAGGTAAGATCTGAAGATGATTGCTTGGGCTCTTGAGTGTCACAGCTTCAGATCATCATCGTTTTCGTTTTCATTTCATTCGTTTTCATTCAGATCATCACTTTCGGTTTCTGAAGGAGCTTACAGCTGCAATTGGTATGATGGATCTAAAGAATTCAAGCAACTTGTGTGCACCGTGATTGTAAGATCTCAAAAACATCAGAGAATTGTTGCTTTTAAGTATGTTGAGGTGTCATTGAAGACCTATCAATGGGTAAGTTTATTGCATTCTGTATCAATAGTAAAGTTGATTATAAACTTTAAAATTTTCAGATTGTGGACAAAGCATATTCTTACTATTCTGTGCTAACTGCTATTTATAATGTTTAAAGTATCAATCTTATTTATCATCAAAATTAAGTGCATTTGTTGGAGTCTAGGACTTCAAAATAGCCACTCACGGTAGTGAGTTCTTGAAAATGTTTCACATCAAGCAAATTTGTCCTTCAAAAATATTAAACAACAAATTTCTTTAAGAATTATGTAACAAAAGAAAGCAAATGAGACGAAGAATGTTAAGATGAACCATTTTTATAGCCACAGCGACTATCACTAACGCCCACGCACAAAACAAAAGAAGGACATGTTCACATAATAAAAAAATTCTTTTATTTTATTATTTTTTTCTTTCTTTTTTTGTTTTCCGTCCATTTTTCTGTGTCTTGCGATGGCGCTTCTGTGCTCTCATCCTATACGAATAATTATGCAATAAAAGAAAATTTATTGTGCCACATTCACCATTTTCATTACATCTTCTTCTGGCTCCTATTTTATTATTTTATTACACTGATCTGCGAAATTCGTAAAAAAATCTTTCCTATCAACTTCCTTTTTACACATTATTCACTATAAAGTAGATGGAAAGATCTTTCTTTCTTTTTCTGTATGCAGCATTGGACATTAAAATAAAATGTAAATGCGAAGCACAAGAATAAGAGACGAGGAAGGAGAGCTGTTTTGTTACATGAATGAAATTTATTACAGAAATATGTTAATGAGTGTTAAAATAAATTAATACAATGGAAGCAATAAGGAGAATAAGAAGTTTTTTTAGATGATGGGAAACGAGAACAAATGAATTAAAATTAAAATAAATAAAAGAAATGGACTAGAGCTAGTTTTTTCCATGATAATTATTCAAAAACTCACCAAAGTTGAACACAAACTCACCAAAGTTGAAGGCAAATTCACCAAAGTTGAACACAAACTCATCAAATTTGAACAAACTCACCAAAGTTGAGCAAACTTACCAAAGTTGAACACAAACTCACCAAAGTAGAACACAAATTCACCAAATTTGAACAAACTCACCAAAGTTGAACACAAACTCACCAAAGTTGAACACAAACTCACCAAAGTTGAAGACAAATTCACCAGATTTGAAGGAAATCTTACCAAAGTTGAACACAAACTCACCAAATTTGAACAAAGTTACCAAAAGTTGAACACAAACTCACCAAAATTAAATTAAAACTCACCAAAGTTGAACACAAACTCACCAAAGTTGAAGGCAAATTCACCAAAGTTGAAGACAAATTCACCATATTTAAAGGAAATCTCACCAAAGTTGAACACAAACTCACCAAAATTGAATTAAAACTCACCAAAGCTGACCACAAACTCACCAAAGTTGAACGCAGACTCACCAAAGTTGGACACAAACTCATCAAATTTGAAGACAAATTCACCAAATTTGAACAATCTCACCAAAGTTGAACACAAACTCACCAATGTTGAACTCAAACTCATCAAAATTGAATTCAAACTCACCAAAGTTGAACACAAACTCACCAAAGTTGAACAAATTCGCCAAAGTTGAACGCAAACTCACCAAAGTTGAACACAAACTCACCAAATTTGAGCAAAGTTGAACACAAACTCATCAAAGTTGAACACAAACTCACCAAAGTTGAACACAAACTCACCAACGTTGAACACAAATTCACCAGATTTGAAGGCAATCTCACCAAAGTTGAACACAAACTCATCAAATTCGAAGATAGACTCACCAAAGTTGAACACAAACTCACCAAAGTTGAACACAAACGCACCAAAATAGAACACAAACTCACCAAATTTGAAGACAAACTCACCAAAGTTGAAAATCAACTCACCAAAATTGAACAAAAACTTAGCAAATTTGTACAAATTCGCCAAAGTTGAACACAAAATCATCAAAATTGAATTAAAACTCACCAAATTTGAACACAAACTCACCAAAGTTGAACACAAATTCACCAGATTTGAAGGCAATCTCGCCAAAGTTGAACACAAACTCATCAAATTCGAAGATAAACTCACCAAAGTTGAACACAAACTCACCATATTTGAACAAACTCACCAAAGTTGAACACAAACTCACCAAAGTTGAACACAAACTTACCAAAGTTGAACACAAACTCACCAAAGTAGAACACAAATTCACCAAATTTGAACAAACTCACCAAAGTTGAACACAAACTCACCAAAGTTGAACACAAACTCACCAAAGTTGAAGACAAATTCACCAGATTTGAAGGAAATCTTACCAAAGTTGAACACAAACTCACCAAATTTGAACAAAGTTACCAAAAGTTGAACACAAACTCACCAAAATTAAATTAAAACTCACCAAAGTTGAACACAAACTCACCAAAGTTGAAGGCAAATTCACCAAAGTTGAAGACAAATTCACCATATTTAAAGGAAATCTCACCAAAGTTGAACACAAACTCACCAAAATTGAATTAAAACTCACCAAAGCTGACCACAAACTCACCAAAGTTGAACGCAGACTCACCAAAGTTGGACACAAACTCATCAAATTTGAAGACAAATTCACCAAATTTGAACAATCTCACCAAAGTTGAACACAAACTCACCAATGTTGAACTCAAACTCATCAAAATTGAATTCAAACTCACCAAAGTTGAACACAAATTCACCAAAGTTGAACAAATTCG